TTATTATTGTTATTAGCACAATCCTGTAATATCAGATTGGATAAATGATTTGTTCCAAGCCTTGAATATTAAAAAAAATACTATACGAGTTCAATAAATCTGATAATGTAGGGTCATTATTTTGATGTCCTGCTTTACCATATATACTTATCACAGCTTAAAACGATTTTCGAGATCGTGTAACGTTAATAACGTTGTCTGTATTACTGTAAGTATTACTATAGATAAAATTGGCAACTCTCTTGTAAGCTGCCAGAACTTATATTGATGGAATTCGCATCTACGCTGTAAAAATGTACTTGTTGTCTTATTATGTTCATTCGTTTAAAACAAATGTACTATAATGTTTACTTCCTCGTCAGTTATAGGTCACTGGTATAATTACACCTATGCATAAAAAGGGGGAAAAGAATGACCGGCAAAATTATAGAAAGATCACATAGCTACCAGTTATTGGAAAGCGTTTTGAAATATAGTTTTTAGATGTTTACATAGTTGGTCTGATGCCAACAAAAAATAATATTGATTTGTGTTATTTATTATTTTAATATTAAGCGTTTCCTATTGTTTATTAAGGTTTAATAGAGTTCACCATTATTCCTTATTCAATAATCGTTAACAAAATAAGACCTAAAATGAGAGTCTGTGTTATCCCGTTAACAGGTTTGGAAATGTATATCTACATGCTTTATTAAAAGTGAACAATTATTCTCATAGTTATATGTGGTTGCGATATTGGGATTCACCAAACGTTAGGTTTAACGTGTCTATAAAAATATATCAAACGTAGTAGTCTAAGATGGATTTAGTATGTGCCAAATCATGGCATAAATACATTCAGATTGGCTCACAATTTTAGAAATAAACTCACGGAAGTTAGTTAACCTATGATATATGTTTCAATTTAGAAAAGCAGAAAATATCATTGGGTTGGACTCACCAACAATTACTTTGTTCGTATGGGCTTGGGGACATCAGGGCATGACACTGTATTTAAAATTCTATACTGTATTTGAAATCGGGTGCCAGGCTATAAAGATACAACAGTAGTCTGGTAATTTAATTTAAATGAAAACACTAAACTGTTTAAGTCTACAATATTAATAAACGATATTTATTATTAACATAGATATAATGTTTACGTTTTACTGCACTGTCCATATTCAGGACGTTATATAACAAGCTGACAATTAAAACGGGTGAGAGGGAACTACTAAGACAAATAAAGTGTGTATATCTTGTTTCAACCTTCAATTTCGTATATAAAATGTTGTTTGTGCTTTAATTGTCCTCAGTACAGTCGTCCTCTTAGAGAATTGCATTGACCTTCGAAATGATAATTTAAGAGCAACAAACCAATATTTACAATTACATTTTTTTATTTTACTAGTGTTCTTCTTTTTAGTTTGTTGTGATTTTCAAAATCTTTCTCATAGTCTTAACCATTAGCAGAGATTAAAGACATCGAAGAGCTTCCTGGTTCATTCGCATAAAATATCACTGATCACAGACACTGAAAACATTTAGTTTACGCTAGTGTGATTAAGAAACATAGTTTTGAAAACACTAGATTTGCAGTTTCAGAGATGTATTGGTAACATAATAATTCATTTTGACGATTGAAAGTGTAGTCTGATTTGTCACACTAAACTGCAATATCAAACTATTTTATAACAGTACCTTATCCATGGAATTGCTGAGAAAAGAACAGATGTGAGTTCCTTACCACTTGCAAGAAATATTTCGAATTTGCCATTATTTTGGGGACCAGCAATATATGCATTTGAAAGCATTGGAACGGTAAGTAATACCTGCTTTATTACGTGAGTCGTGCGTGTTTTTGTTATATTCGACATTGTAGTATTAGAAACATGACTTACGACACACCATTCATAGATTTATTTCAATACCGTAGTGTTGTGTCTAATAATGTTAAACTGTCAACGTATTACCAAGTGCGTTTTCAATGTTCAGGTTTCATAAAACAATTTACCCATTTCTTATCTTAGGTACTTCCAATCGAAAATAAAATGAAACATCCACATGATTTCACGAAAGTTCTCTACACTAGTATGTCTATTGTGACGACTGTATTTGTAACTTTTGGGACCCTTGGATATCTGTGCTTTGGTTCGGGCGTCTCGGATACAATTACACTGAATCTTCCAGAGGATCAGGGGTAGGCTTTCAATATAACAATATATGTCAGTGTTAGTAATTTTCCAGACTGTTAGTAATCGGCAGAATATATCAGTTAGGTAAAAGGTGATCAAAATGTGTTTTTTTTTCGCCCATTATATCACCGTAAAATTTACTAAAATTACTCATATTCTTTATGCGCATTGGTGCTGTATTAATACCTTTAATTTTACCAAACTTCTAATAAATTGTAATCAACTGTAATACAATCATTGTTACTCACAACTGTGTTCACATGCATTTATAACAAACTTTCTATGGGAATATATCGTCACATACGCCAATAGTCCTAGTCACACGTTAACGTGATTGCCCTTTATAAACGTAATAACAATCCATTCAATGGCATATTACTCTGTATATAGAACAGTACATTGTTCAAGTAATTATTACAGCAGTTTTTCCACCACAGTTAGCAAAAACACGTTTATAATTGATACCAGTAATTATGACGCACAGTTAGTTGGCGTACAAGTGATAATAAAATCAATGCGATTAGTATACCAATATTTATTATAAGAAGTAGCTATTTTGAAATACGGCTTGAAACTAAATAAACACAAGTTGAGAATCGAATTGTTCATATTCCTGCAAATCAGAAAAATTAATAAACTTTCAAAGTCAAACGATTCGTTTGGACAACATTAAGATAACCACTAACAAAGTTAGGTCTAATATATCGTTTTTTTTGTGTTGGAAAATCTCTTGCATACAAACACCTCATTACACACAAAACGTAAAACAAATTGTTGGGTATCAGCCGTCGCTGATTGGCTTCTGATTTCGGGTTTATAAACCTTTTTGACCGTCCCTATACCACTTACCAGAGCCTGGTAATCCTGGATAGTTAAATATTCGCAAATCTTGCATTTGTCACAAGAGTTTTACATGTTACATGATTTAACAAAAACTAACCGTCACAGTTAGTCGCTATAACATTCTACTTTCACATATCTTCTAAAGATACTAACTTTCGCAGTCACTCAACACTCTTCAATGCACCACCTAACTATATCAAAACAATAAACATTTCACACAATGTGTTATGTTTTGTCATCATTGATGGTCGTATAACACAATTATGCCAAATCAATTGTAAAGTTGTTGTTATGCCTTTTTGTTCTTTTTATCTTTCCTTTTTGTTTTTGCACTTGTTTGTCTGAATGTTTGTTTTCATCTTTTTTATCCGTATTATTATTATTATTACTATTATTTCAACTGCAGATTTTTTTCTGGTCTGGTGAATGCAAAACGACAAATGTTAATTAATCTTAAAATATAACATTAATCGTTATCATATTGTTTACTTTTTAGACTCTATATCTCTTTGAAGATATTATTCTCCATGGTGATGTTTGTCAGTTATGGCTTACAATTCTATGTAATAATACAGATAACATGGCCATGTGTGCAAGAGTATGTACCCGAGAATTATCGAGTATTCGGCGAATATGTATTCCGGACAACACTTGTTCTAATGACATGTAAGAATGCATCAACTATTTTTCTTGTGTGTTATTGTCGACGATTTTATTACTAATTAACACATTCAACACATTCAAGGTTTCAATTAAACTGTTACATGTACATATTTTTCAGTGGTATTTGCAGCAAGTATTCCACACCTGGGTCTGTTCATCTCATTGGTTGGATCATTTGCAGGCAGTGTCCTAACTCTGATTTTCCCGCCAATCATTGAAGAACTTACATTTTACAATGGTTACGGAGAAACAACGTCAAGATTGAGACTTACAAAAAATGTTTTAATAGTGGTTTTTGGAATATTGGGATTTATATTTGGTACTTTTGCGTCAATTGTGAAAATATTTTCTGCATTCAAATCTGTACCAGATATGTGTATGCTAATACTGGATAATTCAACAATCATTAATACAACGGCAATACCATCTTGCCTCCTTTTGACGAACTCGACTATTCATAATTAACTGACATTTTACGATTTTAACAGACATTTGAAATTACAAAAAAAAAATGTGTGTAGACAATACAGAATAAGCATAAGGTAAAGTCTGTAATTCGCTATCATTGGTCATAGTCGTACAGTCTACACGTCGCAGTTTATACTGCACTGCACGCTTAGAACGCAATGGATATGTACATTCATTTATGTATATGTATTACAACATTTTTAATTGATATATGTTCGGATCGGCAAATAATGTGTTGTGAGTATTTTTGTGTGAGGTTTAGTTGTGAAAATAATTTAAATATTTTAAAATAATTTCTTGGTTACAATCACGATGTTATATAACACACAAACAAGGTAGGACCATGAAATTTTCGGCTGTACGCCGGAAATAGTATGAATCTCATCTAAATTGAGTTTAATATATTAACTACCACCAGGCAAGCCTTGCTACTGTATTGGCAATGTGTTTTATAAAACGGTTTGTGTGTATGCAGTATACACAACACACATTCGCGTTTTTCCATGCATACTTCAAATTATTTTACTTGTGGTTAATCACAAACTAATCTGCATGCGATCAGCTATAATTTAGAGCTGGGCATCTCTCAGATTTCTGTAAATTGGTTGATGCTGTAACACAAATCTGGTAAAGCTCTTCATGATATAGTTTATTTGCAAACGGTCGTCGAGAGCAGGTTAAGAGGGAAGGGTAACTCCTTTTGTGGCCACCCTTTAGCGTAATTAAGTCTATTATTTCATCGGGGAGAAAGAACAAGTCACGTGGTTCTCTCACATTTCATGCTCAAAAGTATTAAACATATTTAATTATAATCATTAATTTGTACAATTATTATTACCCACGCAAAAAAAACAGCGCCACCAAACACATCAGCAAATAGAGCCTCAAAAAACATAGAATG